TATTTTTATCACGTTTGGATGGTGCCTATTACTGGGAGCTGGGAGGGCGGAGGTTTAATTTGTGTCATTAATGTTCTAAATAAAGACGCCCGCCCGCCACGCAGCCGGCAGCTCTGCAGGGACGTGATGCACCCGGTCGCTGCCCCGCTGCCGGCGGGGACTGGGTTTGAGCAGTGATGGCTGCGGCCAGGACCTGGGCAAAGGGACCCGGCGTGGCTGGGGGCATGTCCACAGCTCACGTAGGTCCCCATAGAGCTGCCTGTGGTGGTCTGGTGGTTCCTGCGCAGAGGTGGTAGTGCCGGTTTTGGCCCATGAAGGGGTTACCGGTTATGTCCTACTCACCCAGGGGGTGATTTTCACTTTCGGGGGCCTTGCCCACGCTGGGCGAGTGGGGCCAAACCCACCCTCAGCACCAAGGGTGGCACCCGGGAGCCTCATGGAGGCCTTTGTGTAGGGGCTGATGCTTGCCTGCTTTAGGCTGGTTTTGGAAATAACATTAGTGGGGGAGGCTTCCCTGCACAAGGGCCCTCTGTTAGAGCAACAACTGCCTTCCCAGGGAGAGGCGGGTGGGAGCCTCCCCACTTTGCAGCTGCTTCTACTTAGTTTGAATAAGAAGAGCAGAAATGTCAGTCCTCCATGCCTGTGAGGTGTCTGGGATCACCGCACACTCCCTTGTCTAGGGTGGTGCTCCTCAGGGATGGGGCAGTAGTTTGGGAAGGCAGAGGGAGTCTGTGTCCCCCTGGTTGGCAGGAGCAGAGCTGCCCCGGGGGCCTGGCCGTTCCCCCTGAGGGGCCACAGTGAGGCTTTGGCACCCTGCGAAGCCTCGCAGGTTTTCTAGCACCTGCACCCTTTTCTAGCTGAACCCCCTTTTTACTTCCTGCCATGATTAAAAATGATGTTCTGTTGTGTAAAATGCCTCTTCCTCAGCATCAGTCCAGGGAGAATTATAGTTTGCAATTGCACTGACAGTACAGAAGGGCATGACAGATAAAGCCTGAGTTTAAAAGGAAAAAAAAAAAAAAACCAACACAAGAAGAAGCCTATATAAAATATTTGTTGTGGTCCTCTCCTGATCCTTTCAAGATCCTTGGAAAAAGAGCGCTGTGCTGTGAAGATGTTTTATCTGACTGGGCACCTCCCCACGCCTCTCTTTGATACCTGAACCAAAACATTCAAAGTAGGAGACTGTCATAGCAGTGACAAGAAGAAAGAGATGAACATTTACAGTTCATAAACCTGACCTCTTCTCTTCTGCCAGGCAATTTCCCAGATATATATGACAGGGAGTGTGAGGGAGGGCGTGTATGGAAAGTATTTCCACAGCTGAGCTCTTCTTAGAGAAAAACAGATCTATTTATTAATGAGCATTTTTCACCCTAGGGTTTCTAATGGCCAATTAAAGAAGTTCCTTGAGCCTCCTTTTGTTTCAGACTCTTCTCATTCCCAA